GGGAAGGGAAGGGAAGGGAAGGGAAGGGAAGGGAAGGGAAGGGAAGGGAAGGGAAGGGAAGGGAAGGGAAGGGAAGGGAAGGGAAGGGAAGGGAAGGGAAGGGAAGGGAAGGGAAGGGAAGAAGACACATGCTAGAGAACTCTGTGGCTATACGCCTGCATTTTACAGCGCTGTCATTTCAGAGAGTCTAGAATCAAGACACTCCAACATTGATAAGCACACCTGGAAGAGAGACCTTTATTATATTCCTTGGCCCTGGGGAGATGACTCAGCAGCTAAGATCATTCCTTGCTCTTGTAGAGGACTCTGGTTCAGACCCCAGCACCCATATAGTAGCTCACAACCATCCATAACTCTCTAGTTCCAGGAGATCTAATGTCCTCTTCTGACTTCTTTGGGCACCAGGCATGCACATGGTATATATGTGCAAGCAAAACACCCATACGCATAGAATAAAAATAAATATACTCCAATCAAAGAAAACAAGGCTTTTTGAAGAACTAGTTAATTCCAGGGCTGATGCAAGGAAACACGTGAGGTGATCCAGAACATTCTGTGGAGCTAGGAAGTAAGGAAATACTCTAAGCATCATGGTAGCGTATGGGAAGGACACAGAAGCCAGCAGCAGTGAGCTCCCAATAGCGAGACCCAGAGCGGTTTAAGCAACAAAGTAAACAATAGTGTTGAATTAAAAGCCATGAAGAAAGATCCAATTAGTAAGTACAGAGGATTAAAAAAATATCATTAATAGAGAACAGGATGGCAAGCACTGCTGTGGGCAGCAACTGTCAAATCACTATTAAGTTAGTGCAAGAATATAATGAGCCGTGACATTTGCACAGTCTCGGAGGATCTCCCCGTAGGGTACTTGATAATTAACAGGGGGAAGTGTTTGCTTTGCAGCTGAGAGACAGCAGTTAGGGAGAGAATCAAGCAAGCAGCGCAGCTCTCGTGTGTGTCTTCCCCACATACCCATGCTGCTCTCGCCTGAACGGCTTAACCGAATCTAACCAAGGTGTAGGGTCCAGGGGAAGCACCGAGTGCATGAAGTTCTGAGTAAATGTGTATTATTGACACGGGGAATAGTCCTGTCCAAGGCTCCAAAGCTTGGACCTATGGGGCATTGACAAAGCCAATACCCCTAAGAGCAAAGAATTCCTCTGGAGTCAGGGTGGTAGAGAAGATCAAGGCCGCCCTGGGCTACACCGAGTCGTGCATTCAAGGTCAGCTCAGGCTCTGTGAGAACTTTTCTCAAAAAACAGCAAAAGGAACCGGGACTATTGCTCAGTGGTTAAGAGGGCTTGCTACCAAGCCTGACAGCCTGAGTTCAGTCCCAGGACGCACAGAGTGGAAGAAGAGAATCTACTCCACCCCCACAAGTTGCCTGGCGGTGGCTACATCGGAGGAACTACAGCTGGCCTGGAGTATAAGGCCGTACGGCCCACCAGTTAGCACAGCTACAATGGGTGTAGCCCGGAGAGGGATAGCCCCAGGAGAGTTTGTCTCCAGAAAACCCCTTGCTCCCGCTATGTCTTTTGATGGCTGCTATGTGTACTTACTGTATGTGGCATGATGGGATTATTGAGTGGAAAATCCCACTGTTTCTAGGAGAGTACGATTGTTTCAAGGGAAAATCCTATTCCTCCCTGGGCAATTCACATGCAGATCATAACGAAGATGATTTGTATAGAACAATCACACTTGGAGATGTGGGACTTGCCGAGGCTAGAGGATGAAATCAAGGAAGTTTCACACGCTATAGCCCCATGGATTCTGCCTGTGGTCAAAGAGGCTGATGATCAAAGAAAACAATTATGTCCCTGCCCCCAAAGTTAGGTCTGAGTTCCTCGGTCATGTAGCTTACAGAAATCATCACAGGTTTCGCTGTGTGCCTTGAAAAAACAAAGTTGTGGAAAGAAATTAAATGACCCTGTTATGGGTAAAGAAAAAAGAAAAACAGATGGTTAGTTAGACCATTTGAATAAAGTTTTATAGAATAGAATAAGGATAAGAATTTGCTGGGCAGTGGTGGCACACGCCTTTAATCCCAGCACTCAGGAGGCAGAGGCAGGCGGATCTCTGTGAGTTCGAGGCCAGCCTGGTCTACAAGAGCTAGTTCCAGGACAGGCTCCAAAGCCACAAACAAAAACAACAAAACAAAACAAAAGAGCTAGTTCCAGGATAGGCCCAAAGCAAGAAAGGAAAAGAAAAGAAAAGAAAAGAAAAGAAAAGAAAAGAAAAGAAAAGAATTTGCTACACTGGGCTGGAGAAACGGCTCAGCAGTTAAGAGCACCGGCTGCTCTTCCAGAGGACCCTGACTCAATTCCTCACCACTCACAACTGTCTGTAACTCCTATTCTAGGGGAGCTGACACTCTCACATATATACAGGCAAAATATCAGTGTACATAAAATACAAGTAAATAAATAAATAAATAAAGAATAAAAATGGGGGTTTGGGATTTAGCTCAGTGGTAGACCGCTTGCCTAACAAGAGCAAGGCCCTGGGTTTGGTCCTCAACTTTGGAAGAAAAAAAAAAGACAAAGAATAAAAATGTGCCGGGTGATGGTGGCGCACGCCTTTAATCCCAGCACTTGGGAGGCAGAGGCAGGCAGATCTCTGTGAGTTCAAGACCAGCCTGGTCTACAGAGCTAGTTCCAGGACAGGCTCCAAAGCCACAGAGAAACCCTGTCTCGGGGGGAAAAAAAAAAAGAATAAAAATGATTTGCTACCGTGAAACTTCAAACGCCTGCCTGCCAGTACAAAGGAACAAGCTGAAATATACTTGGCTTGCTTAGGGCTTTGTTAATCAATAATAAAAGAATTATTGCTTTGGGGTGATGATGTTATGGTGGGAAAATAATTCAAAAGAAAATGCTTAATTATATGCAGGCTTCTAAGAAAAACATGCACCTTGTGATCATAGTGTCATTTCTTCTTGTGTGAAGATTTTAATTTGTTTTTGGAAAATATGTAATGAGGTTGTGAGGTCATTTCTTCTTCTGTGGAAACTTTTGTCTTAGGTGGGATAAAAAGAGAAAGGGGGAAAATAGAATTAAAAAATCCAAAAACTGTCTCCTGTGTGTGTGTAGCCATGACTCCACATCTCCTCTCCAGTTTCTCCGGCCTGCTGGAGCTGGACTCTGGCAGTCATCCTTTGACATATGTGTCATGCTACATGCATCCCCATGCCTCTCAAAGTAACAAATAAGATCATTTTAAAAATTAAAAGTAAAAGAAACAGAAAGGAGCGACAGTTGTAAAAGTTAGGCTGAGTTTCATTCTGCATGAAGAGCCATGCCCTTACAGAATATAAGCAACTGCTTACCTACTGCAATCTAGGACACCAGCAGAGAGCTGGCCCTAAGGCATGACCTTTGTGTAGCAATATATCCCTGGAGTACAGCTTTTCATATTTTTGTATATTGTATATTTGTATATTGAAATTTTTTGTTTTTTAAAGTTTTTCATTCTCACTATTTTACATTGTCAGACTTTTTTTGGGGAAAAAAAAAACACTTTATGCAGGAGTGTTTTGCCTGCGTGTATGTGTACCATGTGCATGTAGTACTTGCAAAAGCCAGAAGAGGGCGTTAAAGCCCCAAGAACTGGAGGTACAGGTGGTTGTGAAACACCTCCACATGGGTGCTGGAAGTTGAACTGAGTTCTCTGCAAAGGGATCTTAATTCTTAACTGCTGAGCCATCTCTCCAGCCTTAACAAATCAACCAAGCTTCTTTTCCTTCCCTTCCCTTCCCTTCCCTTCCCTTCCCTTCCCTTCCCTTCCCTTCCCTTCCCTTCCCTTCCCTTCCCTTCCCTTCCCT